AGTCCGCAGCAGTAATCGATGGGGCCTTCCCTGCGCGGGCTCAGGGTGCTCTTTGCCCCCTTTGCAGCAGGTGCGGGGGAGATGGGGGGATGTGTGGGCTCAGCTGGCGAGTGCCTCTGTGAATCCCTGTGTGCAGGGCAGGTGTGGGGGCACCTATGGCAGGGGGGGTCTGGAGGGTGGGGGCCCCTGAGCTGCCAGGCCTGCAGGGACCTGCTTGCTCCCTGCCCATGGGGAGAGGCCACGCGGTGGCTGGCACCTTCCTCCACACTGCAGCTACCAGAACAGCTGGACCTCGGGGAGCCCTGGTAGGTGCCCAGTCAGGTGGTGACCATCAGTGGGAGTCTGGGGGGTGCAGGACTGGCCTGGGGTAAGGGCTTGGCCTCATGGTTCTGCCTGGCCATGGGGCCTTGCTTACCTGCCAGCCCCAGTGCTTGGCTTTCCTGGTGACAGCAACTTCACCTGCACTTCCCAGCTGTGGGTGGGTAAGTGGGTATTTAACAACAGAGCCATCAGAAAGTTTTAAGGTATTTCCGTCAGCCTTAAAATGCTGTTGGAAAAGTTGGGGTTGTGATTCTCCAGGGGCTGAGCCCCATCCCTTGGGGCTCCTCTGGGCTAGTACCTGCTGCTGCTGGTTCTGTGTGCAGTGCTGGGACCTGCTGGAGCGGCTGGCAGGGAGCAGGCAGCAGCCCTCCTTCCTGTCCGGGAAGGGGCTCAGGCAGACCCCATGCCCTGTCCTCTGGTGGGTGCAGGATGGAGGTTTTGGAGGCTGGGCTGGCCATGGGCAGTGCACAGTGCTGCTTCCCCTGTGTTGGGCTGGTAGATCCCCTCACGGGTGCCCAGCCACGGGGAGAGGTGGGCTGGTGTAGCAGGTTTGGGGTGTGGGGGTGTCCCTGCCACTGCTCCCAGCCCCTGGCTGCCCCTGTGCCAGTCTGTGGTGACCAAAGGTGTTAGCTGTGGGCTTCGGGGCGTTTCTGGGAGCGGGCAGGAGGGATGGAACAGACTTGGGTGGTGACGGTGGACACAGAGCCTAGCCTGGCTGCCCCCATGGGGAGTGCCTGGCTTGGCCTTCAGGCCACACATGCTGCCGTGACCTGGGGACGTTGGCGGAGTTGTCCTGCCAAAGTCCATGGCCCAGTGCCTGTGGCCGTCCTATCCCTGGCTTCCACGTGCTTCCAGGCCGCGCCAGTGCTGGCGGGAGGGGAGCACAGCGGGACTGCTGCGCCAGGCTGGGCTGTGGGCTCTCGTTGCATCCCGCGGGGCTTGCCGGTGCCTTTGGCCTGGCAGCGTGGGAGCCGTGCATCCCTGGCTGGCACTCAGGCTGCGTGGCATCTGACACACCCCCCCTACTCCTCCTTCTCCCAACTCGAGCGTGGCAGAGGGCAGATGCAGGTGTCAAGTCGCTGGCCCAGTGCTC